ATTTTTGCGTTTTTAGTAGAGATAGGGTTTCACCATGTTGGCCAGGATGGTCTCATCTCCTGACCTTGTGATCCGCCCACCTCGGCCTCTGAAAGTTCAGGGATTATAGGCATGAGCAACCACGCCTGGCCTAATATCTTTATCTTTTACATTAACTGAAAAAAATTTACAGTAGGAACTCTAGCTGATACATTGCCTATTAAAAAACTTTTTTTTTTTTTCATATTTATTTATTTATTTACTTATCTTTTGAGACGGAGTCTTGCTCTCTTGCCAGGCTGGAGTGCAGTAGCACGATCTCTGCTCACTGCAGCCTCCACCTCCCAGGTTCAAGCAATTCTCCTGCCCGAGCCTCCCGAGTAGCTGGGACTACAGGCATCTGCCAACATGCCTGGCTAATTTTTGTATTTTTTTTTTTTTTTTTTTTTGAGACAGATTTTCGCTCTTGTTACCCAGGCTGGAGTGCAATGGCGCGATCTCCGCTCACCGCAACCTCCGCCTCCTGGGTTCAGGCAATTCTCCTGCCTCAGCCTCCTGAGTAGCTGGGATTACAGGCACACGCCACCATGCCCAGCTGATTTTTTGTATTTTTAGTAGAGACGGGGTTTCACCATGTTGACCAGGATGGTCTCGATCTCTTGACCTCGTGATCCACCCGCCTCGGCCTCCCAAAGTGCTGGGATTACAGGCTTGAGCCACCGCGCCCGGGCTTTTTGTATTTTTAATAGAGATGGGGTTTTACCATGTTGGCAGGATGCTCTGGATCTCTTGACCTTGTGCTACACTGGCCTTGGCCTCCCAAAGTGTTGGAATTACAGGCGTGAGCCACCAGTCCCAGCCCTAATTTCTTTTTAATAGCAGGGATGGAGTCTCACTATGTTGCCCCAGCTGGTTTCAAACTCCTGGCCTCAAGTGATCCTCCCTCCTGGACCTCCCAGAGTGTTGGGATTGCAGGCCACAGTCACTGTGCCCAGCCTGATGTATTTAAAAACTGATTAAAAGATAAAGAAGATAAATTAAAACTAGGATAGAATTTAAGATGGTTTGTTTTTCTCTAAAATTGAATCTCAACTGAGAAAGAAATTTGTAAAGGGACTGTTAGATATGTTTGCTCACCTTTACTACATATGAAGATTTTTTTATCATGTAATTCCATCTGATGGATCTTCACCTGTCTCACGTTTGCCCATGAATTCTCTATGTGTATATATGTAAAATTAATTTCTTTCCAAGATCTGTTAAAAATGTGTTGAAATTAACACATTGCTGTGTGTATTGTTAGAGAACTAAAGCAACAAACAAATATTTTGGATGTCTAAACTACAGAAACATACCTCAACTTTGAATCTACCAGTTCCTGATTTTAAAGATGGCAAAAAAACAGAGACTATAACCCTGCATGCTGTGTGGTTTGCATTGTTAACCCAAGTTTGCTTGTCTGTTTCCTAATTCACACAGAGCGTCAGAAGCCATGATGCATGTAGTGTGTTTGTACTGCAGCTGGAGTGGGCCCCCAGACCAGGTATTTATAGACACCATGTTAAGCCTTCCATCCAGTTGTCATCTGTGATCTGAAAGTCTGTATCTGCAGCAGTTTGGGAAGTTAGCATCTGCCATTCACCATTTCATCTTGTTCAATCTGGTTACAGGTAGCCTATATGCATTTGTATTTTGGCATGCATACATGCATATGTAGCAGAAATTCCTGTTTAAAAGTTTATTCATTATTAGAACCATCCAAGAAGGAAAAAATCCCAGTAAAAGCAGTGTCTTTTATACCTACCACATCTTGGCTACTACAAATACCACATCAAGAATGTTGGCATCACAACACTTTGTTGTTGGAGATAATTATGACTTTGTGGGTTTCATAAGTCCCTTTCCTCTGAAAAATTGAAAGCTGGTTTTTTTACATTACTGCACAAAACTACCTGGAGTTACAGAGGGTTAGAAAGTTTAATTCTTTTGAAGAAGAAATGGAAACTTAGGCCAGGGGACTTGTCAGGGGTGACTCTGTGAACAACAACAGGAGCTAAGGCTTTGCTTTTCCTTCTGTCCCTGGCCTGACAGATTTTCAGGAAGCACCCTGCTTTCATTTTCTCTGATATAAATATGGTAAACATCAGCCTGAGTATGTTGGTTGACTTACCAAGGGGAGGAAAGATGGTCTTTTAAACTGTCAACATAGGACTTTACAGCAAATTGGTTGGAATTAGATATATAGCATTTAATTTGTCTTCTTTCTTTTTCTTGTAAGGATAGGTTTAAAGCAGGCATAGTTTAATTATTCTTAATGTCTACTTTCCTCATCCTCTTCTCCTATCATTCTGTAAACTGACCCAGTCCTCCCCTACATTTAGGACTTAGGCCAGTGATACTGACCTTCTTAGCTACAGGAGGACTGTGTTACTACTTTCTTTGTGAGCACATAATCCATCAAGGCTGTGTTCACCTTGACCTCACTTGTTTATAACTCACACAGGAATGCCAGAAAGCCTGTACCATACCTCTCTATGTTGCTTACGTGGATATTCCACTACAGTGCATTGTTTCTGTTAACATTAGTTCCACATTTAGCCTCTTCCAGAGTCAGCCTTAAGGACTGATAAAGAAAACTGATAAATGTTAGACATCTGGTAGTATGAAAATAAAATTTAAAAAACTAGTAACTGTTTCTAGACTGTAATGGATATAGCTTAAACTGAAATAAGTGCATTTTTCCTTCTTACCCCTATAGTATAAGTAAGGTAACATTGTTTTATAGGAAGTCAATAGCTTCCTGAAACAGTGCTTCGTCCTCCCATGCTGCTAACCAGTAGTTTACGAGAATGATTTAAAGCCATTTGACTCTGACTGCATTGCTTCCTTTTAAGATCAAGCCCCCTTTTTGGTTGTTAATGTTTAATACTGAGCATTTGAGTTGCATCTGCCCTAATAATAGATTGTATTTTGAAGTCTTTTTTTTTTTTTTTTTTTTTGAGACCGAGTTTCACACTTGCTGCCCAGGCTGGAGTACAATGGCATGATCTTGGCTCACCACAACCTCCGCCTCCCAGGTTCAAATGATTCTCCTGTCTCAGCCTCCCAAGTAGCTGGGATTATAGGCATGCATCACCTCGCCTGGCTAATTTTGTGTTTTTAGTAGATACAGGGTTTCTCCCTGTTGGTCAGGCTGGTTTCGAACTCCTGGCCTCAGGTGATCCTCCTGTCTCAGCCTCCCAAAGTGCTGGGATTACAGGCATGAGCTACCATGCCCAGCCTAAAGTCATTTTTTTATATTGGCCTTTTGATTTTTATTTATTATTATTATTATTTTATTTTGATGAAGTCTCACTCTGTCACCCAGGCTGGAGTACAGTGGTACAGTCTCAGCTCACTGCAACCTCTCCCTCGTGGGTTCAAGTGATTCTCCCACCTCAGCCTCCCAAGTATCTGGGATTACAGGCACCCGCCACCACACCCAGCTAATTTCTGTATTTTTAGTAAAGATGGGGTTTCACCATGTTGGCCAGTCTGATCTCGAACTCCTGACCTCAAGTGATCACCTGCCTTAGCCTTCCAAAGTGCTGGGATTACAGGTGTGAGCTGCTGCGCCTGGCCCCTTTTGATTTTTAATTAAAGATCTTAAAATTATGTGCATAGAGGTCAATTTTTAACTGGTTCAGTGGCAGAAGAGTTGGAACTGATGTTTAGTGATCCCGTTACAATGCTTACACTGAGCTAGTGTTTTAGACTGCCATCTTGTTTGGGCGGTCATGAAGTAGCAATGAATCTAAATAGTCATTGCCTATTGAAAAACTATTCATGTACCACTCCCTCCACATTCCCCTTTCCTTAAAGTATTAAGTATTCTTAACATAGCTGCACACTATTAATATAATAAAAATAACTTAATAAGCATTTTAAGTTTAAAGTTGTATTATTTGGTAGGATGATGATTATGATCTGCTGATCATTAGTTTACTTTTGTTCTCTGAGTTAGATGCTCACTGAGTTTTACTATGATTTTGGGGAAGCTTGGCTAGAAACAAAATAGAAATTTGCTTCTCTGTCCCTAAGCATTATGTAATTTCTTATTTCTCTTTATAATTCCCTTCTGTCCAAGTATACCTGGTTTTAGACTTCTCATTTGTAACCTCAGTGTTTACATTTGAAACAAGAAAAGGGCATTAGCATGAGAATCATTCTGGTTTGAAGATTCTCACAATTTGTAATGTCCTTAAGAATCACCCAAGGAGCTTACTGAAAATGCACATTCTGGCTGGGAGCGGTGGCTCACCCTGTAATCCTAGCACTTTGGGAGGCCGAGGTGAGTGGATCACAAGGTCAGGAGTTCAAGACCAGCCCGACCAATATAGTGAAACTCTGTCTCTACTAAAAATACAATATTAGCTGCGCATGGTGGCACATGCCTGTATTTCCAGCTACTTGGGAGGCTGAGGCAGGAGAATCGCTTGAACCCAGGAGGCGGAGGTTGTGGTGAGCTGAGATCATACTATTGCACTCCAGCCTGGGCAACAGAGGGACACTCCATCTCAAAAATAAAAAATAGAAAAAAAAAAATGCAGATTCCTGGAATTATTCCCAACTATGGTGCCCTAGAGTCTGCATATTTTGCAAGCATCCCAGGTGGTTTTAAGACAAGTGTTTAAAAAAATACAGTTGCAGAAACTATTTTAGACTTGACTAGACCAGGGAATAAAGAAACATAAATGTCCTTCAGTGCTGAGTACTAACCCAGCCATTATGTGAAGCGTATTGATGGTACTTTATCATGTTGAATTTATAGTATGCATATTTTATTAAGAACATGTCTACCTCTTATTCTGATGCTATGATGTTAAATTGCCTATTACAATGAGAAAATAATTTTAAAATCATTTCTATTTGTATAAGAGTTTGAGGACCTTCATTTAGATTTGTACCCTCTGATAATTTAGTGCCATTAGTTACCTGCTAATTATAATTAATCTTTTTCCTTTCCCCTGTGTTCCATATAGAGAAAAGCGGTAAAGAATCTACCTCACTGGGAATGTCATCATTACCAACTTCAGATGGGTTTAACCATCCAGCCCATTCTTCAGGACAGAGTCCTGAGATTGCTAATCCTACGAGTCTTGCTCGCTCTGTCTCTGCTTCAGTCTGCCCTGTCAAGCCCAGTGACCCAGATAGCATTGAACCTAAAGCTGTGAAAGCTTTGGAGGCTTCAGCTAAATTCCAGATAAACTCTAAAAAGAAAGAACATCTTTCTTTACAAGATCTTTCTGATCATGCTTCTTCAGCAGACCATGCTCTGACAGACCAGAGTCCAGCTATGCCTTTGCAGAATTCATCCGAAGAAACAACTGTTGCAGGTAATCTGGAGAAATTTGCTGAAAGAAGCACCCAGGGCCTCAAATTTCATCTCCATACAAGACAGGAAGCTAGTTTATCTGTCACAACTACTAGGATGCATGAACCACAGATGTTTCTAGGTGAAAAGGATTGGCATCCAGAACATCAGAACCTGAGTCAAGTGAATGGCCTTCAGCAGCACGAAGAACCAGGGAATGAACAGTATGAGGTTGCACAACAAAACACTTTATATGACCGAGAGTATCTTTGTAACATAGGGGACCATGAGCTTCCTGAAGAAAGGCAACAGAATCAACACAAAATTGTTGATTTGAAAGCTATGATGAAAGGAAATGGGCTCCCACAGAATGTGGATCCTCCAAGTACGAAGAAAAGTATTCCACCTTCAGGATGCGGTGGCTGCTCAAATTCAGAAACACTTATGGAAATAGATGTAGCTGAACAGTCCCTAGTTACTGTGCTTAATTCAACAGGCAGGCAGAATGCCAGTGTCAAGAACATTGATGCGTTGGATCTCACTTTAGATAATCCCTTGATGGAAGTAGAAACATCCAAATGTAACCTTTCATCTGAAATTTTGAATGATTCCATTTCCACTCAGGATTTACAGTCCGCAGAAACTAATGTTGAAATATCTGGAACAAATGAAGAATATGGCCATTACTCCTCCTCTCCAAATCTCTGTGGCAGTTGTCAGCCCTCTGTGGAGTCAGCAGAAGAATCTTGTTCATCTGTAACGGCAGCCTTGAAAGAACTTCATGAACTTCTGGTTGTTAGCAGTAAACCAGCTTCAGAAAATACATCTGAAGAAATAATATGTCAATCAGAAACCATAGTTGAGGGCCAAACCAGTATTAAAGACCTTTCTGAAAGATGGACCCAAAATGAACAGCTTACCCAGAAGGAACAATGTCCACAAGTCTCCTTTCATCAGGCCATGTCTGTATCAGTGAAGACAGAAAAATTAACAAGTACTTCATCTGTCACTGGAATAGAAGCTGTAGAAAATGGTGATGGCCTGTCAACTGATAAGGAGGGTGTCCCCAAATCTAGGGAATCCATAAACGAGAACAATTCTATCACTATAACCTCAGCTAAAACTTCTAATCAATTACAGTGCACCTTAGGTGTAGAAATTTCACCCAAACTTTTATCAGGTGAGGAGGATGCACTCAATCAGACCTCTGAGCAAACCAAGTCTTTGTTGTCCAGTTTCATATTGGTTAAAGACTTAGGTCAGGCCATACAGAATTCAATAACAGACAGGCCTGAAACCAGGGAAAATGTCTGTCCTGAAGCTTCGAGGCCGTTTCCTGAATATGAACCACCTACCAGCCATCCGTCATCAGGTCCTTCCATTCTTCCACCATTCATTTTTCCTGCCGCAGATATTGACCGGATTCTCCGTGCCGGCTTTACTTTACAGGAAGCTCTTGGGGCTTTGCATCAAGTTGGTGGAAATGCAGACCTTGCACTTCTTGTTTTGCTAGCAAAAAACATTGTAGTTCCTACATGACTATGGGAAAGTGGGCTAGACCGTTCTCCATTCCCTTTAAAAAAAAATGAAAGCTCACTCTATATACACACACATACACACTCACCACGTATACAGTATATGTAGAAATCTGCAAGCAGAATGTTGAGCCAGATTTTTTTTTAAAGATTTTTTTCGGCCAAAGTAATTTATGATCTCGTCTGATGAATTTGTCTATCCTACTTGTTAAAATTTAGACCTTTTTTTAATGTATTGGCAGTATGTGCAAACAAAAGCTTTTTATTCTCATTAAGATGTATTCTGGAATAAAATGGATAGTTTTGTGTATAGCATACTGTTTTAGAATGAGAGTGAATGCTTTGAAAAGCAGAAGCCATGAGAAATCTCACTACCCATGCAGCTAAAAACAGATGAACTCTCCACACTGTGACTGTGTCTTTGCTGATGGCAAGGTATGGCTTGCTGGCTCAGTTGTCCATTTTGAAATTTTTGACCACATAGTTTGGTGTTTGGAATTCTACCCAGTGCTCTGTGTATTATGATTTATTAATTATAAGAGGAAATTGGGAAATAATTGAATATCATATCCTAGAGTGGCATGTTTTTATTTGTGTGCTTAGGACTTGACATTTTAATAGGGTGAGCAGGAGGGTTTAAATTTTGGGCTGCTTTGTGCATCACAGGCTGCTGCATGGATTGCCATGAATCCTTATTACATTGGATGGGATACTGTGGGGGAGTTAAAATTAGAGTGAAACATGGTGCTACCCAGATTTTTAAAAGAACAGAACAACCATAATTCCATTTGCAGATGTCAAGAACTGTGAGAGAAAAATCATGGCCTAAACACTGGAATTTGCTAGAGTTTGGGTTTGCTGGCATCTCACTGATAACACCTCAACCTTAATGACTAATGATGACTTAAGTTCAGGAACAGGTTGATTGCCAGCAGCTCATTTCCTTTCTAGACTCACCTTCTACTAGGGAGTTCTTCAAAAGCTCAATGTGAGCTGTGATCTGAGTGAAATACTGAAGTGTGATAACCTTGTCACTGGTTAATCTTGGTGCTTGGAATGGTCAGTCTATTTGAACAGTGTCCTTTGTGGCAGTGGAAATAGTAATTACAGTTTCTGACTTAAGTGGCCTTGGGAGAGTTTTCCATCCTTTTCTTTCCTCAGGAGTTTCTTTTTCAAGCAAAATTCATCATATTTGTGTTTACCATGTCAAGTTAGAGTGGGGCATAATATATAGATGTATTTATTGTGGCCTTTTTTTATATAAGGACTAGCCCTTGGAAATCATTGTCCTGTGGGCCCCACTGTGCAATAATCCTACTGGATAGGTTTTAGATAATTCTTTCCTGGAAAATAAACTGTTCTCTTGAGTACCTGGCAGGAATCCGAAATCTTTGTTTTACTGAAAATAATTTTGAGATTCATAATTTCTAATTCTAGATTATAGTTTGTAACATGTTTGAAACAGAAGCTTCGAAAAGTGATTTCTCAACTTAGTGTTAAGTGATTTTGTCTGAAGTCTGACTCTTTGTAAGCTTATTTGTTTCATCAAATTTTAAGTCATTGAGCACAATCAAAATGGAAGCTCACATCTCAGGAGTTTGTGAAATTTTAATTTAGGGGCACTTAAAGACATTTTTTTCTACCCCATCCAACTTCTTCCTTTCCTTTTGATATAATGTTTGTATGTATAAGACTTAGTTTTGGGATGGCAAGTCATGTAGATTCACCATGATCCTTTATGTGGTTAGGAAGTGGTTGACAGAAGGAGTTGTAGTTTACTGCTTTTCAGAGGGCGCTCAGAACAGCAGGTTAGCGAGGTTGTCTTTAAGATGTTCTAGACAGCTGCACATTGTAGACCCTTTCGCCTGCCCTACACCAAAGATGTACAATGCACTAGGAAACTGCTTATAGGATTTCTGTCAACTGACTTAAAGCTGTGATTGTAATTAAATAGTTGGTGCTATGATTGATGCAAAATCCAGTAGCAATGCAATGGGGCCCTGTATTTGCTTTATGGGTGGTGGTTTGAGAATGTATTCTAAGCTTGTAACTCTTTGGAACATGGGGTGGGAAGGGTGGGGGGGACTTACTGGTGACAAGAGACTCCTCCTAAGGGCCTTCCATGTAAGCAGAATGAACCTTGGCTCACCATTCAGTGTGAAGATCTGGGAAACAGTTCCAGGTGGAATATATAATAGTCTGGAAAAGATTTCATTAGGATAGCTTTTTGCGTATGTATATGTATATTTATTTTTAGGAATAGATCTGTAGTTGTACACGAATTCCTGTTAGGAATACTTTGAATGAGCTTAACCCACTTGCAAATATCCTTTATCCCTTTCATCATTTTTGAGATGTGATCTTGCAGTATTGCCCAGGCTGGACTCAAACTCTGGGGCTCAATCGATTCTTCCACCTCATCCTTCTGAATAGCTGGGACTACATAATGCCCAATTAATAATTGCTTTTGATTTTTAAAATCTTGCCCTTCATTTTTATAAAAATTAAGCTGTTTGGCCAACACAACCTCATCCCTACTAAAAATACAAAAAAATGGATCAGGCTTAGTGGCGCACACCTGTAGTCCCAGCTACTCGGGAGGCCGAGGCAGGAGAATTGGCTGAACGCTGGAGATGGAGGTTACAGTGAGCCAAGATAATGCCACTGCACTCCAGCCTGGGTGGCAGAGCGAGACTCCATCTCAAAAAAACAAACAAACAAAAAAAAAACCTGTTGACACTATTAATATTTTGGATGATTTAAATGTAGCAGCTCTAGAATGCAAAGAGTATTAAGGAGCATTACAGTAGTGAACCTTCATTGTCAGTTTTTATTCAATTAAGAGCTCCAAAAATGCAGAAACTAGTAACTTCTAAGAATACAATCAAATCCTTGTGAATTCTGGTTGCCAACAGTAATAACCAGTAATGGGCACCTTCACCAGACAGCTCCTTTACCATAACCAGTAGCGGGCAGTTCTGTGGTCAGCACTTACCTCCAAGAGTGGTCTGTTGCACCAAAGAGAGATTTTCCTGTGTACTTTATGCCATTTCCCTGAAGTTGGTTCCTGAGCAGAAGGATGTGCTTGGAAACCAGAAAGCAGCTTTACATAGGTTATAGGTTTTGCTCATTGTTGCTGTTAAGAATTATTTCCACTCGTACCTGTTCAGGGCTCCAGACAGCCAATAGCCTTCATCCCACAGTTTGGGCTTCAACTATTAACACATAAAGATAACCAGTTGCGACTGGGTGCAGTGATTCAAATCTGTAATTCCCGAACTTTGGGAGGCCGAGGTGGACGGATCACCTGAGGTTGGGAGTTTGAGATCAGCCTGACCAACATGGAGAAACTCCATCTCTACTAAAAATAGAAAATTTGCCGGGCATGGTGGCGCATGTCTGTAATCCCAGCTACTGTGGGCTGAGGCAGGAGAACTGCTTGAACCTAGGAGGTAGAAGTTGCAGTGAGCCGAGATCAGGCCATTGCACTCCAGCCTGGGCAACAAAAGTGAAACTGTCTTAAAAAAAAAAAAAAGTTGCTTGGCAAAGGAAGCTGGAGAGATGGTGAGTGCATGTATTAACTCTTCTGCCTTGCAGCCCATATGTTCCAGAGCTCCCTGTCTCCATATGTGCTCATGGGAGATGCAACCCTGTGTTTTTTTCCCCAAAGCATGTCTCTAGCAAGAGGGTACATAGAAATGGAATACAAGGCTTTGTGTCACTGATTTTATGATAACCAGTTAATGCGGAATCTGCTGGTTGTCTTACTATAGTTTTCTATCTCCAGTGAAAGCCATAAAAATTTAGGTTAACTTTTAAGCTCTTGTCTATATATATGTGTGTAAGCTAGCATATACATATGGTGATTGACAAATATAGTTAATTTTATATAGATTTAAAAGCAAGCAATTTTTATATCTACAGACAAACTCTTACGGTGGCTTTTATCCTGCCACATATATATGTGTATATATATATATATATAGCAAACAGCCTTGCAAATCATCGGCCAGAAGAGCTGCAGGGCATTGCAATGGCCTTTTCCTACCTGTTTGTCACCTGTGGTGAGGGTGAGCAGGGTGATTGAACTGCTGTGTGTTTCAAACCTGTTGTCACTGGCAGTGTGTCCCAAGAAAAGATGACCAGATAGATTATGCATTCTACTGTTCTCTAGCACAAATACTCACCAAAAAGCCAAATTTCTCCTTCGGATTTGGTGACTTAGTGTAGTCTGTGGCTGACCTAGAAAGACAGAATTATCAAGAGTTTCCCTTCCTAGAAGATGAATGTTACCTTTAGTGTTAGGAGGTACAGAAATTAGAAAGAGGTGTTTTTTTTTTTTTTTTTTTTTTCTTTCTAGAATTGCTAATTCGTCTTAACAGATTATATTCAAAAGCTGTCCTTGAGACCTGGAAATGTAAAGTCGTGGTTCAGGTTTTATACCCTAGTCATCCCTCAGTAGGTGTTACTAGGAGTTCATTGAATGAACTAAAGAACTTAGGAGTGAACCTTCGATGTGCTTGATTTTCTTTTGTGCCTTAGTTTCTCTGAATAGCAGAGGCACCACATTTTGGTGGGGAATAAGGAGTATTAGGGGGAAAGTTTGAAAATAGCCCTCCTGGAGTTGGGGGGCACACAGTGGTCCTCAGGCTCACCTTGACTGAGTTGATTCAGAATTATCCTGCATCAAATCATTAGACTTCCTTAGTGTAAGGATTATAATAAGGATTTTTGCATCACCAAAAACAGTTTTTAGATGTTTATGTTCTTTGTTGTACTATCAGTGTTGTGCTGGTTAAGGGAGAGAAAGGTTGAAGAAAATCTTACATATTTGAAAGGGAATTGGCACTCTTGAAGGCAATGCAAGTCTTGAACAAGAATTCCTTACTACTTTGATTCATTCATCAAATACTGAGTGCCTGTGTGCCTGGCACCGGTGAACTCTGGGGATTCAGGTGTAACTAAAGCAGATTGGAACCCTGCCATTTGTGAAGCTTTCAATCTAGAAGGGAGACATGAAGCAAATTTTAGCTTCAAAAATGCATTTATTTTAAAAGTCATAATAGAGTTACTTGGTTCCACTTCAGAGCAGACTGGGAAAATCAGGCATACAATGGAATCAGATGCTGTGGGCCTAAAACAGCTCTTTGAAAACCTTTTTTTAGGCCGAGTGTGGTGGCTTACACCTGTAATCCCAGCACTTTGGGAGGCCAAGGCGGGTGGATCATGAGATCAGGAGTTAAATACCAGCGTGGCCAATATGGTGAAACCCCATCTCTTCTAAAAACACAATTAGCCAGGTGTGATGG